CCATATGAGGCATACGCCAAACAATTTGCACAACCAGCGCCATCTATGTTTCATTTCCACATTACTATTGAATGGCGTAATTTCAAGACCGGAAAAGAATTTGGTGGATAAATATTTTACGGCAAAAATGTATACTATTAAAAAACTAAATATAGAAAAAATACATAATACTTAAAAAAAAATACAAATACATATTTAATTAATTTTAATTTCCAAATCTTTAAAATGCGCTCCATATATATTTAATTTCAATATAATCATTTAATAGCACAGTTTGAGGCGCCAATAATATTTTGAGGGAATTCAAATAGTTTTAACTGATACTAATAATATTTAGACATTTTCAAGTCAAAATTCAAATAGTTTGCTAGAACTATTCGGTTTTCTGTCATAAGATATTCCCCATTCAATATACCCCATGATCCCTTTTTTTCTCCTGTAACTCCTATTGAGAGCATAGGGCTTCCGCAAAATATGGTCATCTTACTCCAATTTCCATTACTCCATTTTCATTGTCTTTATTCCAGCTAATTAGATAATTTGCCTACAGCAGCCTGCTCTAGGCGATGGAGCCGCCATCTATAGTTGCCTTAAAACAACGCATCATTGTATTTTGTACAGTGGTTGTAGTCCTTGCTTATCATAGTGTTAATACTATCCTCTAAGTGGCGCCTCTCCTATTTTATGTTATCCTCATGTGTTGAGGTTGTAATTTCTTCTGTAAGTGGGAAAATTATTGAATATAGGGTGTCAAATCAATTTCATGTTGTGAGGAAAAATGATTGACGTCTGGACGAAATCAGAAACAAATCTAAAGTTAGTCATTAGTCCTACCTTCCATACACATATGTTTGACTGATTGTGTTCCCAAAAAATATGAATATGGAAAAACAAAGTAAAAAAAAGATAGCATGTCAGGAAGAGAAAAATTTCAGGACAAAAAAGAAAATTACAAAAAAACTTCCACCGAATAGAAAACACACACATAAATATATACAAATGTTCCGAAATACGCATTTTATATATATAAAATTTTTGTGGGTCAATACCATATTGAAATGGGAGGGACACAAACATGCAGGAGGAGGAAGAGTACAAGTGTTTTTGATTTGTTTTGTTTACATTACAATATAGAGAACCCCCCTCCTTCATCCTCCTTTATTTTAACGGCCGTAAGTCAGGAGGTATTTTACAAATAGACCGACAATCAACAATTAAACTGACAACCCCGCAAAAAATCAAAAACAATCTGCAAAAGTAAAATATTGACTCTTGACTGCGATGAAAATGATGATGGATGGATAGATGAGTCAGTCACTTTGTCAGTCAATTTTATGGTGCATTTGACAGTTGCTGTCACTACTGCAGCAACCGTATAACCTATCACCGTCATACAGTGTGTGTGGGTGGCCACAGCCAAACCATACAAGTGGGTGGTGGTGGATACACAGCCTGAACGTAAATTGTCTTGTAGAGGAGGAACCCCAAAGGAGAAGAAAGGGGAGAGGGACAACGTCATCGAAACAATTGCTTGTTTAATTAGTCATGATTTTCAAATGAGGGTGAGGCGGTAAGCTGTTGTCGTCGGTATTCAAAAAAAAAAAAAAAAAAAAAAAAATACACCACACAACAAATTATCGAAAAAATAAACAGAACCCCAAAATCTAAAAATAAATCAAATGAGGGCGGCTTTAATTATGAATCACAGAATAAGGTAATTCTAAATTTTATTATTGTGGGAATGTGGAGGATTCAATTTTGAGGTACAAAACTATTTTTAGATATGGAAAACAATATTAAATAAAACCGTAAAATAATTTTCAAAAGCGGGAGAAATAGATACTGAGGATTTTTTTCTTTATAGAAAAAATCTGGGGAAAATTTTTTCTAAAAAGAAAAAATCCCAAGTAACTGGAGACAATTTTTTCTAAACTGAAAAAATCCCCAGTAACTAAGGACAATTTTTTCTATACAGAAAAAAAAATCCCCAGATACTGGGGAAGATTTTTTCTATATAGAAAAAAATTCCCCTGATACTGGGGAAGATTTTTTTATACAGAAAAAAAATCCCCAGATACTGGGGAAGATTTTTTCTATACAGAAAAAAATTCTCCAGATACTGGGGAAGATTTTTTCTATACAGAAAAAAATTTCTCAGATAGTGGGGAAGACTTTTTCAATAAAGAAAAAATTCCCCAGAAAGTGGGGAAGACTTTTTCAATAAAGAAAAAATTCCCCAGAAAGTGGGGAAGATTTTTTCTATATAGAAAAAATTCCCCAGACACTGGGGAAGACTTTTTCTATGCAGAAAAAATTCATCACATACTGGAGAAGATTTCTTCTATACGGAAAAAATTGTCCCCAGTATCTGGGGAATTTTTTTTATATAGAAAAAATCTTCTCCAGTATGTGGGGAATTTTTTCTGCATAGAAAAAGTCTTCCCCAGTATCTGGGGATTTTTTTCTGTATAGAAAAAATCTTACCCCAATCTGGGGAATTTTTTCAGAATAGAAAAAATCTTTCAGTATAGAAAAAATATTCTGGGGAATTTTTTCTATATAGAAAAAATCTTCCCCAGAATCGGTTTTTTTGTTTTTTCTGTATCTTCGCCAGTAACCGGGGATTTTTTTCTATATAGAAAAAATCTTCTCCAGTATCTGGGAATTTTTTTTCTGTATAGAAAAAAAACTTCCCCAATATCTGGGATTTTTTTTCTGTATAGAAAAAAATCTTCCCCAATATCTGGGGAATATTTTTTGTATAGAAAAAATCTTCCCCAGTATCTGGGGATTTTTTTCTGTATAGAACAAATCTTACCCATTATCTGCAGTTGTTGGGGATTTTTTTCTATTTGCGTAAATAAATTCAATATAATACAAATCCCAAAACTAATGACGCCACCAATGACGTATTTAATTAAATTTTACAATGCAATATAAATTAATTTTTAAATTTATTAATTAATCAATCAAACACCCTGAAAGAGATAGTGTGCGGCATCGGAAAAAATTAGCCATGTTATTGACGTACTTCTAATGATGATAACATCTGTCATTTGGTAGGTGCTTGAAGAAAAGTGTTTCAGAAAAAAAATGCAATCATAAATTTTTAAACTGGCTCGTGCTAGCCATGATAGGGAATCTTGATCAGTGATTTCTGAAAAAATGTCCACCTTGAGAGATTATTATTTTATCTATTACCCTTGGAAAAAATTCTGACACATTTTATAGATTTAAATCACAGATGGTATTGACGTCATTCCTCAGCAATTTGGGAAGGCGAATTCGAAAAATTATCATTTGGTTCCGTCATTAGTTAAAGCATTTATTTTTTATGATATTGTTTTTGATAAGGACACACTGGCCAGCCAGTTCTTAAGAAATCGTATCGCCATCAGTGATAAAAATTAATCATTTTTTTAAATATTATGTAATAATAAAATTAGAATAAAAAAATCCCCAGTAACTGGGGACATTTCAGTCTATACACAAAAAAAATCCCCAGTAAGTGGAGACAATTTTGTCTATGCAAAATGAAATTGATCAACAAATTCGCCTTAAGTTTTTTTAGATTAATAAATATTTCTCGGTAGAAAGGGGGATTTACATTTTTTTTGTTGGCACGCCAAAACACTTCCCATTTGTAGTTCCAAATAACTTTATCTACTAAACTGATAGTTTTTCGCTTGACGTATTATCATAATGATGGAGGAGACAGACAGAGAGACACAAAATCACCAATGACACGTTCGAATAATTTATTTATTATCATCGTGAATGGACTGGCTATGGTCGTCATCATCAACATCATCGCTGATCGCTGACATGTTGCAAAATATGCGCATCCAATTAAAATTTTATCAATGTTGGGGAGGGAGGGATGGAGTTAGGTCTGGTGCAAAGTGAAGGGTGTTCAGTCATAAATTTGAATCTGACAATCTACAGCCTGACAATATCACATTTGGCAAATGTGACATTTAAGTTTTTGTTTTTGCTGCTGCTTTTCGGTTTATTTGAGTCCAAAACCTCGTCAACTAATAGTTGTGTTGGCAACGTAATGACGCCAATAATCATTAGGAGTGCAAAATACTTTTTAAAATAAAATAACAAATTATAACAGAAAAAAGTCACGCGCCAATTTTTTGTTTAGCATTCGTTTAAATGGTTTAGAGTTGTGATTAAATTTTTTGCTGTTTAAATGAATGTTGCATAATATTAATTTATATACAAAATTCCCTATAAATGATGACATTTTCTATAGAAAAATTCGTGCCCAGTTATTGGGGATTATTTTTTCTATATAGAAAAAATTGTCCCCAGTTATTGGGGATTATTTTTTCTATTTAGAAAAAATTGTCCCCAGTTATTGGAGATTATTTTTTCTATATAGAAAAAATTGTCCCCAGTTATTGGGGATTATTTTTTCTATATAGAAAAAATTGTCCCCAGTTATTGGGGATTATTTTTTCTATATAGAAAAAATTGTCCCCAGTAATTGGGAACAATTTTCCCCACTTATTGGGGATTATTTTTTCTATATAAAAAAAAAATTGTCCCCAGTTATTGGGGATTATTTTTTCTATATAAAAAAAATTGTCCCCAGTTATTGGGGATTATTTTTCCTATATGGAAAAAATTGTCCCCAGTAATTGGGGATTTTTTTTTTTTATATTGTCCCCAGTAATTGGAGATTTTTTTCTATATAGAAAAAACTGTCCCCAAATTTTGAGAATATTTTATCTATATAGAAAAAATGTTCCCCAATAATTGGGGACTTTTTTGTATGAAGAAAAAATTATCCCCAGCTAGTGGAGATTTTTTTCTATATAGAAAAAAATGGCCCCAGCTATTGGGGATTTTTCTTCGATATAGAAAAAATCCCCCCAGTAATTCGGAATTTTTTCTATATTGAAATAAAGAACCCACTTTTTATATATTTTATTTCCAATATCTGTCCACTTAATATTATATAGTAAAAAATATTTAAAAAATAAACTTACCGCTTTGCGTGACATTTTGTTTTCGTTGAAATATTCCTTTTACTATTTAAAAAACAACAATTATTTATAAAAAAAATAATGAACTTTTTAGCAGTTTTTTTTCACTTAAATTATATACACGACTATAGATGATTGTGTATTAAATTTTGATTGTTGTAAAGGAATCGAAATGGGATCTGAAACGAGAGGAAGAAATAAAATACAGCAATTAATATTATTTTTTATAAATTTTATTAAACAAAATTTCAATAAAATATTTAAAAATTAATATAAATAATTATTTAATTATATCTAATAAAAATTGAATTATTGTTGTATTCACATTTATTTAAAAAACCACAATAGATCATTAAATTTATCTCCTTGAAATTGTGATTCATATATTTATAGAAAGTTGTTATTATTGTAATAAAACATTAACAAAAATACATAATTTTTTACAACGGTTGCCAATTTGAGGTTATTATTTTTTATTGCCTTATATAAATTATTTTTTTTTTTCATTTATTAATGCCTTTTTAAAATACTGTTTAATATTTTTATTTATTTTTCAATTTTTATTGACATTTGTTTTAATTTTTTTAATGACCAAATATAGAAAAAGCCAGTTACTGATTAATTGTAAAAATGTTTTGTTTTATTTTTATAACCAAATATGCTGATGATAAGTAATATGAATATAAAAAATACTGACGCTGTAGAGAATATAAAGAATTAGGTGATTAACCTCGATGATTCATCTGGAATATGAGCTGAGATTAAAACTTCTCGATGCAGAAAAAATCTCAAGTTATTAGAAACAATTTTTATAATGAAAAAAAGAAAAAAACACATTTACTATGAACATCTTTTACAAAAAAGATCCTCAGTTAATTCTTTACACAAATCCACGTCTTGATTGCCCTTTAAAAGAATTACTCATTAAAATACTCAAGCCTGAAATGGTATTTGAAAAAATTGTTTTAAAAACACCGCTTGAAAAAGCATTCTAAATTTTATTTATTATTTTAAATATTTCATAAAAATTTTCTAAGAAAATATCATCTGTATTTTTTTTAATAAACAAAAATCCCCAGCTACTGCATATCATCAATGCTAAAGTATTATTTAATTTGTTGTTTCACAGAATATTAATTGATTTGTCATGGTCGTCAGAGTTCTCCTCATTCATTCATGCCAAAAACCACAAATTAAAATAAGAAACAAAAAAAGAATAATAAACAAATAAATAAAACTGCAACAGATATTTAAATTTTTAACGGTCAAGAATTTGGAGCAAGATTAAAATCTATACAATGAAAACAGAAACAATGCGCAGAGAAAACAACAACAACAATAAAATAAAAACATGATTAGCAAGTTAATCAATTTTGTTATTCATTAATGAACTCAACAAACCGTCAAGGAAATGCAGCTTAAGTTCATTTCCATGAACAATGAAGTATTCAATTTAATAGAGACACACAAACAACAACAGAGTCAGTGTAGCAAAGGGAGTGAAAGAGAGAAAGGAAAGAGGAGTGGAGAGTCGCACAAAACTGCCAGATTTGCTGCAAATGCAAATGTATACAAATAACAAAATAAAGCAATAATGACAACAACAGTATCAAAAAACACAACAACAACACTTTATAAAGGAATTAATGTATTAATAATAAATCAAAAATAAAATGTAATTTGCCTTGAACTTGATTTTACTTTGCAAAGAAAAAAAAAACAAAGCTCAAGTGATGCGCTGTGTGTGTGCGCAACACATGCATGCATGGTCAGAGAGGGAGAGATTAAGAAAGAGAAACAAACGCCAAATTAATGCATGCCAGATCTCCCCATCCATGAAAGGAAAATAATAATGGACATTGACTGTCACCCAAAACAAATATTTTTTTGTATATTTTTAAACGAAAAACAACAATAACATTGCAATATAACAACAACAATTTATAAAGTTATATATTACTAATATTAAATTATGAATGAGCTTGATTTTACTTTGCCTTGAACTTGATTTTACTTTGCAAAGAAAAAAACAAAACAAACCTCACATGACTGTCTCCCAAAACAAATATTTTTTGTTTATTGTTCAAATAAAACGAAAGCAACAAAAACTTTGTAATAATCTAAAAACAACAATTTATAAAGTTATATATTACTAATAATAAATTATGAATGAGCTTGATTTTACTTTGCCTTGAACTTGATTTTACTTTGCAAAGAAAAAACAAAACAAACCTCACATGATGGCAACACATACAGTGCAACACATTCAAGCTTGCCTGATTAAGAAAGAGAAACAAACGCCAAATTAATCCATGACAGATCTCCCCCTTCATAAAAGGAAATGAATAATGGATACTGACTGACTCCCAAAACAAACATTTTTTATTTGGTTAAAATTAAACGAAAAATTGCAAAATAACAACAACAATTTATAAAGGAAGTTATATATTATTAATAATAAATTATGAATGATATGTAAATTGCCTTGAACTTGATTTTACTTTGCAACGAAAACTCAAAAGGCGCGTGCACACACACACAGTGCAACACATGCATACATTGCTTTGAGAGGGAGAGATTAAGAGAAAAAGAAACAAACGCCAAATTAATGTCTGACAGACAGACACTGACTGGCTTCCAAAACAAATATTTTCTTGTTTATTTTGTTAAAATTTAACGAAACAACAATTTGTAAAGAAAGTTATATATTATTAATAATAAATTATGAATGAAATGTAATTTTTTCCTTGAACTTTACAAAAAAAAAAAAGAAAGAAAGAAAAGGCGCGCGGACACACACAGTGCAACACATGCATGCATGCACATTGGCTAAAGTCATGAGAGGGAGAGATTGGGAGACAAAAACAAACGTCAAATGACTGGCTCCCCCAAAAGTAAATAATTTATATGGGTTTTAGTTAAAAGAAAGAAACAACAATAACAACTAAAACATCACAACACAATAACAACAAATATGTTTAAAGGAATGAATTTATTATTGATAATACAAATGAAATGTAATTTGCCTTGAACTTGATTTGCACTTTGCAAACAAAAAACAAAATCTCAAATGATGCACACACAAGTGAACACATGCATTCTCCATTGATAACGTCTTGACAGCGAAGATATTGAGAGAGACAGAGACAAACGCCAAATCAATGAAATACAGATCTCTCTCCTATAAAAGGAATGCAACAGCGACGATTAGTTTTGGTGTTACTGGCTCCAAAAAGCACCTATTTTTTTTTGGTAAAATAAAAATTAACAACAAAAACTAAAAATTAACAAAAAAAAAAAATAAAAATAGAAACCCGCAGCACAACAGTCAATGTCACAACTTTAAATAATTAATGCAAGACAGATGCCCCACAATAAGCTTAAGTCATGAGAGGGAGAGATTAGGAGTGAGAAAAACAAACGCCAAATTAATAAAATCTCCTCTATAAAAGGAAAATAAAAAGAACAGTAGAAACGGTTTGTATGATTTGTAGAGTGACTAACCCAAAAAATATGCGGTTTTTGTTAAAATTAAAAATGAAAAACAACAATTACAACAACATTGCAAAAATTTTGTAAAGAAAATAACATTTGGTTTATTAAAAATATAAAAAAATGAGAAAAAACAACCACAACATTCCGTAAAAAATATAACGAAAATAAAAGTTGAGAAGCAGCACAACAGCCACCACCACCACGGATCTTGATAATCTTCATGAAGATAATGAAGATCCCCATCATCATCATCATCGAGAGAGAAATGTGCAAAAAAACACTCTCTTCGCCAAAGAGTGAGTCACTCACACACACATGTATATACATCAAAATCAACAGCAACACAAAAAATTGCATTTCAAAAGATTTTTGTTTTTTGCAAAAGCTATGGATAAAAGGAGAAAATGAAGAAGCTCCAAAAACGACGAAGATAAAACATATGACGATTATTATCATAATAAACGAAAAGAGGGAGAATGAAGGAAAACATATGAAGACAAAACCCAAGCGGCGGACATTCTCGTCGTTGTTGCTGTTGTTATTCGCCGGCGATATATGAGCAAAAGTTTGAGGTTAATTGTATACAACAATGGTGTTTGGTGTCGTCGTCGATAGTTGTTGGTGGCTGCCTATTGTTGTTGTTGCTTGGTTGCTTGAGTTGGTGCCATTGCCATCGAAAAATTCAATGTGTCTGCGTTTTCTTTTTCGTCTTTTTTTTGCACTTTTTCATGGAATGAATGAAATCTCAAACAAGGTAAAATTTCCACAATAGGTGGGTTTTAGTTGTTTTTGGTTTTTAATAAAAAATTATTGTTTTTTATTTCTATTTTATAGATGAATTTCCCCACAGGATTTCAGGATAAACGAAGGATATTTATTGTGTATGAGTATACATACACATCAAGAGATTGCTGAAGCTTTTTTCCTTAGTGAATACAAGGGTCGAATGTAAATATTATGCTGCATATTGATACCTAAAGATTTGCTTGTGATAAAACCTGAGGATATATTCAAACATATTGAACGCTTCAAGAATATGAGATTCGAAAATTACCTGTTATTTTATCATAATCAAAATCTCGACATGGATGATAGACGGACCTGCATATACCCTCTATGTCCTCTGTACACCAAACAACATATGTTATTCGCCTACGCCGATGATACCGACATAATGAGTAGAAAATTGCGAGCGGTAACAACCACCTTTGAACAAACTGAGAAGGAGTCTGCCAAAGTGGGTCTGGCATTAAATGCCGAGAAGACCATGCTGATGGTATCAACTCGCAAGACGTCCAGTAGACTCGGATCAACTGTGGAACTTGAAAACTACAGCTTCGAGGTAGTCAAAGATTTTATATACCTAGGTACCGTCATAAATAAAACTGATGGCATCAGTTTTGAATATCGAAAAAGAATGGTTTTGGACAACAGATTCTACTATGTTCTGAGTAAGCAATTCAAAAGCAAGGCCAGCTCTCGCCAGACCAAACTCACACTCCACAAGACGCTGTTACTACCCGTGCAGTTGTGTGAATCAGAAGTATGGGTACATGTGCAAGCAGATGAGGCAGCTCTTGGAGCATTTGAGAGAA